CCTTAAAGTAAAATTATTAAATATTTATTAATTATATTGTTTAATGCCATTGGTCCAAATTTAAACCTTCTCAAATAAATAATAAAAATGATATTTTAAAAAAAATTATTTTTCTATAAAATCACTTATGATTCATATTTTGACCCGATACACTTGAAAATAATATTGAAAAAACAATTAATTTCATGATATCTTCCTATTAAACTATTTTAAATCAACCCTAATTTATTATAATGTAATCCAACTCTTAAATGGGGATCCAACTAAATTGTCCATCTAATAAAATTATTAGTTTCATTAATATAAAATTTTCTCTCAATTATCCAAATGTCTTGTTCATTTTCTCTTTTATTACTTTTTTTAATCTATTATTCTTAATTAGAATATCCGGGACTCAAACTTGAAATGAACTCACATATTTATATTCTTTTAATTAGTATTATTGTCATGATGGGATGATGGTGGGGATAAGAGAAATGATTATTTTTATTCTTTTATTTTTAATTTTGGGTACACACAAAAGAAAAATGTAATATTTGCACATATTTGCTCAATTAAGTCATCTTTCATTGAACTAATTATTTCTATATGAATGCGTCATTATTTTCCTCCTTTTCTCTCTCTTGTTTGTCATAAATTAAATAAAAATAAAATAAAATGGTGGCCAAGATCTAAATAGAAAAAAATGGAAGAGATAGGAAGTGAAGGATCGGGCCGAGAGGGAGGAGTGTATAGAGTAGATGCCTAACCTTTTTATAATTTTAAATTTACTATGAAATGGAAAATCAAGTTAATCATGAGAGCTTATATATTAAGTAATTTCAAATTATTTTTCTACGGAAATGGCCTAAAATACCCTTAAACTATGAGATTTGGTACAATATTACCTTCCATCCACCTAATGAGTATGATCCATTAGATATAAGGGTATTTTTGAGCTGAAAGGTGGACGTCAGAGGTATTTTAGGGTCAATAGGTGGATGGAGGATAATTTTGTACCAATTCAAATACTTGAGGGGCATTTTAGATCCTTCTCCGTTAAAAAAATTGAAACTTGTGTATTTATAAATCAATCTTGACGCCTTCCTTTTAAATCTTTGTGTTTGTTGGTTACTTTCTACAATAATTCAAATCCTTGTCAAATTATCACTCCAATGGAATAGAAATAAGAAAACCCCACAGCCACAGGAGATATAGGATAAATAGATATTTTTTGAGAAAACAGCCAAATACCCTCAATTTATAATCAGACTTTCAACTACACATTTATATTTTATGGATATCCTATTACTTTTTTGGACTATTTTAAAGCGGCATACATGTACTCTTAGGGGTCGTTTGGTGTGAAGGTTAAGAATAAATAGTCTTGGGATAAGAAAATAGTAATGGAATAAATTTTTTGTATCTTGTTGGTTGCCATGTTTGAGATAATTTATCCCACCATTTATACCATAGTAATGGGATAAGTTATACCATATACATGGCGGGATAAGTTATACTAGGATAACTAATCCCAAAATAATTAATCTTGGATAACTTATTCTCAATCAAATGACCCCTTAAAGTGCTGACATGACATAAAAAGTGTTCACTCTCTCAAAGACAAGTGAGAGTCAAAGAACTGATACATTGCCTTTTATTTTATTTTATTTTATTTTATTTTATTTTCTTTACTCTTTTTTTCCTCTCTCTCTCAACACTCAACATCCACCTTAGTACATTTCCTTTATCACCATCGTTGAACCACCACCACCAGAGGTGGACCTACCTTAGATGAAGGGGTATTTGTGCACCTGTTAACTTCGAAAAAATTTATGTATATAATATATATGTATATGCCTAAATACATATAATATGTTTACTTGTGCACCCTTAATCACCAAAACTAATGTGGTGCACTGGTTCAATGCTTGATTTTTCACATCTTCGCTTAGCAAGGTGTCCTGGTTTCGATTCTCATTAATATTTATTGTCATTTTTTAGGGTGCGATTTTGGGTATGTTGTTGTCATATATATATATATTTTTTTTAAAACGCATGTATATATGAACTCAAGCTAGATTCGAACTAGCAACCTTAAAGTTTATAAGGTCAAAACCATCAAACCACACATTGAACTATGTTACACATTCGTTAAATTTATATTTATTGATACATTTTATTATATTTGTTTGACAATTTTTTACCACACATTGAACTTTGTTACACTTTCGTTTAATTTATATTTATCGATACATCGATTTTATACTTATTTCACAATATTTTATGGCAAAGTGTTGATACTTCAACTAACACGTATCCACAGCTAGTGGTGCCCCCGTTGTCTTTAAATCCTGGGTTCGCCTCTGAGTTCACCACCATAGAAGCCCCATTTCCTCACCCATTTTTTAATACTTTTCATAATTAGCAAGAACTTCGACCTTGAAATTGGTGTTAAAATTGTGGAATTTGGATGGAAGAGATGAAAGGGGTGGTCTAAATGGCTAATGAAGTTCTTGTGGCGGTGGTACTGATGAATATTGTTGGTTTCTTTGACCTGAAAAAGAAATGATAAGACATCGTGGTGGAGAGCCAAATAGAATTTTCCAAGCAGATACTAAGCACTCGATGAGAAATAATTAAAAAAGACAGTGTCCACATTAATCATTTAAAAAAACATTTAATTAGTTCATGGTTACTATTCAATTAGTGTCCAAAATATATGGAGAGATTAGTTTGTTTTCTCCGTCATTAAACTGGATTAACTTGTTTACCATATTATTAGTTATACATTGGTGTGTTGACAAAAATGAAATAATAAAGGAAACGTATTGCATCAATTTAAATGTCAATTGACGTGAAATTAAATATATTGAAATATTTTCTCCATCTCAAAATACCTGTCGTCTTTGTTAAAAATATTTGTCTTAAATTTTTTGTCCTTTTAAAAGTTCAAATAAAAACAATTATTTTCTTGCCATATATCCTTAGTAGTAATTAATAGTAAATATTTAATAAAGAGAGATTATATCTTAAAACATAAACAAGGGTAAAATAGCCAAACACTCCTCCTAATTAATGTTTTCTTAAGGGCGTTTAAGGGATATGTAGATTTCAAAACATAAGAAATATTTTGGAACGAGAGTAATATATAGTTCTGGGCTAAAGTCCAATAGACTTTTTGGTTCAAGAAACTATAACTTATTTTTGAGATTCACCGTGTGTCACTCACATGTCCGAGCATTTATGGCCATCGAAATCCAAAGTTGGCTTCTTTTTATGTGAGTGTATCTACAAGTTATTTTTGACATGGCAAAGGCATAGTAAACCGAGTCTCATGCCATTACTTCATCATTACCATACTCACCTTGTGGAACCATAGTCTAGTTAATCCAAAGATACTCTTAATAATATTGTGCGATATTATCCTCTTTGAACCGAACTCACATGATTTTCACCGGAAGGGCTCACACCATTACGAGTAATTTCACCCATTATATATATCTTTCTTTTCATATACATTAACTACTTATATGATATGAATTTCTTTCTTTTTTTTAGTGGGATAAGGCACAAATACCCCTAGACTATGATCGAAATTCCAGTAACACACCTTAACTAAACACTAAGGGATTATCCTTTTTTTTAATAAGGGATTATTCTAATGAAAATTGATAGTATGATTTATTGTCACCTTCTTCTGAGCATTATTTTGAATGTTTCATTTATTCATGAGAATCTCTCTTTCAAAGACGGCAGCAAAAAGAGGTTTCTTTTGATTTTGAATTTTTGTCACCACTTGTAAGTATAGTAAATAAATATCTCATTATCTCTTAAATAAATAGTACTAACATTCACCCTAATTATTGCCACTCTAATATTGTTCTTCTATTTGCTTGCATTAGGATCACAATTTTTGAGTAGCTATGGTACTTAATTTTCCATTTATATATGGTGTGTTCGGTACAAAGAAAAATAGTTTCCCAGAAAATAAGTAAATTTATTTTTGTGTGTGCTCGATACGTAATCAAAAAAATATTATTTTAAAATTATTTGTATATGATATAGACAAATATTATGATAGGTGGAGGCCGTATGGAGTAGGCACGTTGGATGGTGGAGATGGGGCGAGGGGGCGAGGAGGACGTCATTAATGTGAAATTTGTTTTTCCCACTTCCATTAGAGAACTCATTTACTCATTTTTAAGAAACTTGTTTTCGTAGAGAATATGTTCTCCAAAACTTTTAACCAATCGAATATGGAAAATGCACCGGAAAATATTTTTCTTCGTACCGAACATACCCTTAATCCATTTCTCATTTCTCAATTTCTCCATATTGATTTATATAATATGAATTTTAGTTCTTTATGTTTTCTTGATTATTTTTTTCCTAATATCTTGGTTGTAGGATAAGAGTGAAGTTCTTGAAGGAAAGGTTGATTGGAGAGGAAGAATAGCTACTAAAGATAAACATGGAGGACAAGGTCCTTCCTTACTCATTTTAGGTAATGAATATTGACTCAAGAACCCTTCAACACAAATATATATATTATTAACACGGTGTGATATTGTCTGTTCTAAGCTAAGATCATATAATTTTTTCACAAAACATTTCACAAAATTAATAATATTATTGCACCATTACTTTCCATACCATTTTATTGAATTAAGTCGATTCAAGATTAATATTCATAACATAGTGTGATATTGTTCGCTCTGTACCAAGTTTTCACATGATTTCTCCAAATAATTATGCCATACCATTATTAAGAATAGGGAAAAGAGTCTGATATACCCCTTAAATTTGTTATTTGGAGCTGATATACAATAACATATCTAGTAAAATTTTATAAATGAAGTTTCGGGAGAAGATTTATTAACTACCTCGTGGAGGTAGAGATGTTATTTTTGAAAGATCTTCAGCACCTCAGATACAATAATTTCACGTATAAAGGATCTGATATACCCCTCAACTTTGTCATTTGGAGCTGATATGCCTCTTGTTATAAAAGTGGCTTATATATACTCTTACCGTTATACAAACGGCTCACATATACCCCTACCGTTACAAAATGAGCTCACATATACCCTTCATTTAACGGGAGTGAAAAAAATAGTTTTAAATTTATATATTTAACCTTTAATTTTTAAAAAAAAATCATTTAGGGTTATATATGATCCTTCTAGCAAAGTTCAAGGTATATTTTAATCTTTTTCATACATAAATTATTTTTTGACTTCTTTGATTATCATTACTTGAGTTTCTTATTCTTATTTTATTTTTTTCTTTTATTCCTTAATGTAAGAAAAAAATTTAAAATAATTTTTTTTGACTATATTATAATTTAAAACTATTTTTCGGCTATATTGTTATTTAGTTTTTGTATTTGGAAAAAAAATTGGGTCATCTATAATAAATTTTACAAGAATATTAGTGAAACATAAATTAATTTGACCATCAAAATAATAAATCTAATTAGTCATTGAAACAAACAAAAAAGTCAAAAAAATATATGTTTGAGGAGGATTAAGTATACCCATATGGGATTATATTTTGTTTAAAATATTATTAAAAAATTAAACTAAAATTAATTTTTCACTTCCGTTAGAGAAAAGGGTATATGTGAGCTATTTCTATACCAGTAGGGATATATATGAGCCACTTTCATAACTAGGGGTATATCAGCTCTAAATGACAAAGTTGAAGGGTATATCAGGCCCTTTTCCCTTAAGAATATAATCATATGTGTATCTACTTTATAAATATATATTTTGACTACATACCATAGGTTGAATTCCCTGAGTGAAAATCCTAGCTCAGTCGATGATTCCACCATTTAACATTATGTGTATTAATTACTAGGTACATTTGCTTGTGAGAACATAGCATCATTTGTGTTAGGAGTAACCTTGGTGACTTATTTCAATGGAGTGATGCATTATGATGTAGCTGATGCAGCAACTCAAGTTACAAATTACTCAGGAACCAGTTATATTTTAACTGTCCTTGTGGCAATCCTAGCTGACACTTATATTGGAAGATTCACAGCTGTTTTTGTTTCATGTTGGATTGAATTCTTGGTAATATTTCATATTCTCTTCATCTTGTTAATTTTATCTAAGTGAGTAGTTTTTTTAAAGTTTTATGCATCGACAATATACAAATCATGTACTCCTGATTAAAGATAAATCTAAGGGTATACCTAACATGTTGAGGTGGATGCCATATTACGACATCAGGTTCATTTGAAACTAGTATTTTTTATGCAAAACATAATTTCATGTGTAAAAAACCATCGAAGTTGTAACATATACTAATAGGTTTGAACTTATAGAGATTGAATCCTAGATCTAACTTTGCTATTTTAGGTTCATTTTGTAAGAAAAAACAAATATTGAATGGATAGTATATAATATCATGTTAACTATGCCTATTAGTTCCAAAACAAAACATAGATTTTTTTAGTTTTTTCCTCTACATATCATTTGTGAGTGACATCTAATTATATTTTTGGTAATTAAATGACTTAAAACAACCATATAATATGATTCAAATACAGATAATAAAACACCCTATAATAATTTATAATCAAACACTTATATCCTATGTTACTCGGACCCTTTAAATATCAACAACTGTATATCAGATCCTTCAAAAGTAGCATATTTTTGAAGGATCCGACATCTGACACGGGCACAACATTATTTTTTCGAAAGTCCAAGCAACATAGCTTATACCTATGTTTTTCTTAGACACTCCAAAAATGTTGCCGTACCCGTGTTGAATTCTTCAAAAATACGTTACTTTTGGAGAATCCGACACTCATCAAGAGTGAGAGATCCGTCTAAGAACAATAGAAGAGGGATATACCCTCGAATCGGATCTTAGAGAAGTCTAGCACATGTCGATATTTTTGAAGAGTCTGAACTTATTTATACCCCTTATATTACGGAAATGTTACACTAATGAAATTCCTCAACTATTTGATAGGGACTAGGATTGCTAGCATTTCAAGCACACTATCCCAAATACAAGCCAACACTTTGCAACATTCTGGATCCAACATCAAATTGTGAGAAAGTTGATGGAAAAAATGCAGCACTTTTATTTGTTGCACTTTATTTGGTAGCACTTGGCTCAGCAGGAATAAAATCAGCATTGCCATCACATGGTGCTGATCAATTTGATGAGAAAGACAAGAAAGAAGCAATTCAAATGTCAAGTTTCTTCAATTGGCTTTTGTTAGCTGTGTGTCTTGGTGGTTCATTTAGTACAACATTTATTGTGTGGATTCAAGAACATAAAGGATGGGATTGGGGATTTTTTGTGAGCACATTGGCTATGTTGTGTGGTGCAATAATATTTTGTGTTGGATTACCATGGTATAGAATATTTGTTATCAAGGGAAGAAGTGCCATCACTGAAATTTTCCAGGTAAACTGTCACCTTTTCGTAAGTTTCATACCTCATGAACTATTTATTACTTTCTTGGTGTATTAAAAAACACACGTAGAGAATAGCATGTGTTTTAATACAAAGAGCGTGATAGTTTAGGTAGGTAAAGAGAATAGCATATAGTCAAAGTATGAAACTCGTGAAAAACTCTAGTACAAACACTTATTTTGTGGATTCAAAAACATAAAGATCGTCCTTTCGAAAGTTAAACATAAGTCTTAGCTATATGTTGCTTGAATCCTTTGGAAATGTTGCCTGATATGTGTAGAATCCTCCAAATTTTATTCATTTTTTTGAGGATCTGACACGAGTACAACTACATTATTTAAACGATCCGACCAAACATAGAGTCTAATAGTACTCTTACAATTCTCTCTATGACAAACTGTGATCATTTTTCTAATTTTGTTTTCCTTACTTGTGTTCTTATTGATAGGTGTATGTTGCAGCCATAAGAAACAGAAATCTTCAACTTCCTCAGGACTCGTCCAATCTCTATGAGATCGACGAGGATGAGGAAGCTGCAATTCAAGCAGAGTTTCTACCTCATACTGATACATACAAGTTAGTTATTTCTCTGTTTCATATACTTATTCGACCAAATTTTTATATTATCAAATCACCTGAAAGATAATAATAAGTATCGCACCTAACAAACAGGATTGGTGCAACAACATTTTTGAAGAGTCTGAGAAATCCGACTTAACTTATTTCTTTTTTTTCTTTTCTAGGTTCTTGGATAAAGCAGCTATTATTCAAACATCACAACAACAACAACAACAACAATCTGCAAAAACAATTAATCCATGGAGACTTTGTAGAGTTACACAAGTAGAAAATGCAAAAATCTTGCTAAGTATGGTACCTGTTTTTTGTTGTACAATTATTATGACACTTTGTCTAGCCCAACTTCAGACATTTTCAATTCAACAAGGCTTCACCATGGATACAAGGATCACAAATTCCTTTCACATACCACCTGCCTCATTGCCAATCATCCCCATTGTGTTCTTGATCATCATCATCCCCGTCTACGATCAAATCATCGTTCCAATCTTGCGCAAGTTTACCGGCATTCCCACAGGTAAGGCTGTCAAGAGAACGAGTTTAACTGAATTTGGACGGGTCAAAATAGATTAATGAGCTAATAAATAAGTTGATTGAGCTAAATTTGGCAGGTCAAAATGAACTGAGTTAATAAATGGGCAGGGGCGAGTCATTAACTCGTCCTGATATTACTTGAGGTGAAATGAATTGGGCCAAAATAGGCTAGCTAAACAATAAGTCATAACTCAACCAGTCCAACTCTTACTAAATTATATATCTTTATTTTGTTTTCTTATTTATAAAAATTACATATTGAAACTTTCTTTTTCTTTATATATAATGATATTGATTACATATTAAAATTAAAGTTTCTTTTTCTTTTCTGAATGTAATGGATCAAAATGATTTGAATTAATAAACAAATGGGTTATTAATCCATCCAAAAATTACTTGGTCTAAAATGAGTTTGATCCCAATAGCCCAAAACACTTACATGCTTTGGGCGAGTTTGAGTTGTATTTATAAATGGATGGTTTGGGCGAGTTGAGCATATCATATCTTTATAGGCTAATTTTGTCACTTCTACCTATACAGGCATAACATACTTGCAACGAGTCGGGGTTGGCTTAGTCCTCTCCGCTTTATCTATGACAGCAGCATCCATCTTAGAAGTCAAGCGCAAACAAGTAGCACGGGAACACAACATGCTTGATGCGATTCCCGTGCTACAACCATTGCCTATTAGTGTGTTTTGGCTCTCAATCCAATTCTTCATATTTGGAATTGCAGATATGTTTACCTATGTGGGACTTCTTGAATTCTTCTACTCTCAAGCACCAAAGGAATTGAAATCAGTGTCATCATGTTTTCTATGGACTTCAATGTCAATTGGATATTTCTTGAGTTCAATTATTGTGAAAATTGTGAACAAGGCAACTAAAAAAGTTACAAATAGTGGAGGGTGGTTAGTTGGGAATAATTTTAATAGGAACCATTTAAATTTATTTTACTTGATGTTAGCTGTGTTGTGTTGTTTGAATTTTTGTGTCTATTTGGTTGTTGCTAGTAAGTATAAGTATAGGGTACAAAAAAGTCCTAGTGATCAAGATGATAGTAGAGTACATGCTCTAAAAGATCGAAGCAGTCTCTCGACCTTCTCAAGGCAAGAGTAGAGTTGATCAATAAGCACTATCAGCTTCTCCAAATCTCATTTACAGGATTTCAGTGGATATGTTATTGTTATTGTTGACGAAGATTTAAAAGTGAAATTTATGTTATTTGCTATATATTAGCAAGGATATCAGTTTCTTTCTAATTGTACTTGGAAAATTCAGTTATTTTGAAAATTGAAATATTAGTTCCTTATTGTTGGTTGTCTAGCAAAAGGTCTTTCTATTTTATATTTAAAATATTGATTTGCTATATTCAATCAATTGTATTTCTCATTAAGGAAAATTAAAGGAGTAAATACTATTTCAAATTGAGTAACTTTGCCCTCTATTAAAATTGTTTTGATCTAAATTTATCTTTTCCTCAAGAAAAAGTCTCGTTTTTATCCTTGATACCTAACGAAACTTCAATTCAAGAGTTATTTCAGACCATCATTAAAAATTAAGAAAGATAAAATTGAATGCATACAGAAAGTTCACTCATTTTACGTTAGAACTCCTCAATAGCATTAATGGTAAATTTAACGCGATTTGCTAACGGTAGATAAAGACAGCCAAAATTCGGTACGTTTAAGATTTATTATGTATATATATAAAAAAATATATACTTTTTAACTTATATATATACAATTTAAATTTTATTGCTTAAATTATAGTCAAAAGTTTAGAATAAATCAATGTTCACTCAGGTAATTTATGCAAAGTAATTCTCACTAAATAATTCGAAATATTGATATACATGAAAATAATAATAATAATTATTATTATTATATATACATTAAAAAAAATTATAATTTCCATTAAAAAGAGGTTCAGAATCCCCTTAGCTTTACCTGATTCCGAATCTCCTCTAATAATAGTGACAAACACAAAAAAACTAACACTCCATGCAAATCCATTACGTGGCTACAAGGCTCAGAAATACAAGCCACCTCGACGACACATGCATGCCTACGTGCCCAGCCAAAAATCCGCCACATCATACTATGCCACCACAACGACACATGCATGCCTACGTGCCCACCCAAAAATACACCACATCATACAATGCCACCTCATCAAATATAAAAACAAAAACCTAATAAAGCTCCACCCAACTCAACCCCATCCATTTCAATCACTTTTTTATATTTCAAAAAATTTCAAGAAAAACTGTCTAATTATTTCAATATTATTATTTCTATCATTATGGCTTCTACAACAAAAGGTCATGAGCAAGTTCCACCAGGAGAGCCTATGTCAATGGGGCAACATATGCTAGACAAAGGGGCTCAAATGATGCAATCTTTAAAACCTATCAAGCAAATGAACCAACATGTGTGTCGATCGGGTGAATATACATTAAATTTTTTTTAATATAACTATAGGTATAAATAATTATGAAATTATATGCAGGGGTGGAGTATATATTATCTGATCGTATCTTTGAAAGTTTGCCTCAAGAAGAACAAAAACTTTGGCATTCTCATGCACACGAGGTTTGTACCTTAATTTTCATTTTTTTTAACACCATATATTAGTAGACGAATGATTTTGTAGTCCTTTATAAATTTATTTTTAGTTTTATATATCGATTTTACAAGAAATTAAATATTCATTTTTACACCCAAGACTCATGAGATTGATCTTTTTTTTTTCTTTTCTCGAAAGGTTATTTTCTTCTTTCTGAGCGGTCGTAGAGATCGTTTTCTCCTAGTAGGTTAGTTACCATATTACTACAATAAAAATCACTTTTAGGGGAATAAATATATAAATTAATAAAGAGTAATAAAGTTTTAGCGGTATTAGTCAATTGTCATTGGATTTAATGTCCTATAGGCTTCAGGGACATCTGCAAAGTGTGTTAATTGACGCTAAAAATATATATTTAGCTAGGGGCAGACCCACGTGAGTTCCAGACTTCCAGGGGATCACCCGAACCCCCTGACAAAAAACTACAATGTATATATATATAAGGTAAATTTTATGTATTTATGTAGATATATTATTTCCTCCGTTCCTTTTTTATATGTCATCTTTTTAATTTGCACTTGCATTAAGAAATTAAGTAAATTTACCCTTCTGCCCTTATTTAATGTTTTCTTAAGTCAACTTTATAATAAATGATGAATATGTTAGATTTCAAAAATTAAAATGCATTTGGATGACTATTTAAATTTTTGAGTTTATTTTTTGAGTCAAATTTTTTCACCAATTGATCCAAAAAATTTAAAAATTAATTTTTCCCACCTCAATTTTCCTATATATTTGTGTAAAAATGTTTTAATTTGTTTGTTGATACTTCTTTTTCAAAATCAGATTTTTTAGAATAGTGAATGGAAAAAGAAGCAAATGTATGAAGTACTCCAATGAATATTAATTACTTATAGATTTTCTAGGTTGGTCAAAGTATATATTTTCAAGATTAATTAACTACTCTATCAAGGATATAATGGGAAGAATATGGTAATTTGTTTATTGAATTTATAAAACGACAAGTATTGTGGTCCATCTATTTATAGAAAGGGATGACATATAAAAAGGAACAGAGGAAATAATTTTGAACCCCTCATGAGCAAGAAGAAAGCTATAGCACAATGACATGTCTACTTAAAGTTCAACTTTTGAGTCTGGAATTTGCATCCCGGCGTTAGCGTTTCATTTTTTTTTACCTTTTTTTTCATTTAGTTTCAGTTTCTAATTTTCTCGTTTTTTTTAAAGTGTGGATTTGAACCTAAAAAAAATCAAGGTCTCATTCCTAAAGGCTAAATCACTTTTCACTTTCCAAATCCCTATTTTTCGAACCCCTTGAGTGAAATCTTGGATCCGCCACTGTATTTAGCGGTAATATGTAAGCTATTGTCATTAATTAATTATTGCTAAAGATCATTTTTGGTGGTATATTTATTATGTTATTAAATTTTTTTGTACTTGTAATTACATAAAACACCTCTTATGTTTCATTGTACATTTGTACTTGGTCTAAAATAAGTCATATATATATATTTTATATTTATATAACGGTTTGATCTTTGTGAAAATTTGATATGATAGATAAAATCAGGACTTTGGGTGAATCCAAGAGTTCCAGAAATGGTAATAAGGCCTGAACTGGAGAATCTTACCAAAACCTATGGCAAATTCTGGTGTACGTGGCAGACAGATAGAGGTAACTTTACCATTTAACAAATTATAAATCAGTCTCGTTTCAGTTCATGTGACACTATTGACAATTTCGAGAGTCAAACGAGTTTCTTTTAAGTCTTTAATAATAGTATATTAGTCCTCTCATCTCAATTTGGGCATTATATTGTGTTGATTATTTTGATTTTGAGATTCAAACGAATTATTCTATTTTAAATTCTTCGATCATTTGAAATTTGGTACTAATTGCTAATTTAACTTGCAATTTCAAAGGTGACAAGTTACCAATTGGGCCTCCATCACTAATGATGTCTCCACAACCAGTAGATTTAGGCATTGTGAAAATAGGTCTAGTCAAGAAGAGAGATGACAAGTACAACATATCGACCGACGCCATGAAAACAGCTCGGGCTGATTTATCCGAGCGCACCCGTCTCAATCCGAGGGCGGATTATTGGGTGGAGCATGGTAAGGGTTTCATGATCGATGTTGAGGATGTTGAGATGAAGAAGATAGCACCATTTCCATGAGTTTGTATACAAGCTTTTGCATGCATGGTTTGCAAAGATGTTAATGTTTTGTTTTTAAAAGGCATTTACTAAAAAGCAATATATGAATATCTATGTGAAGTTCAACCCTTGCATGAAGCAATTTAGTTTTTTTTTTTTTTGATTCAGTGAAAGTTGACTATTTGGGTTCAAAGATTGTTTCTGTATGCAGTGTAATTATCAGGTTTCACTAATAAAATTTTGTATTAAAGTTAAGTTGCATTCAACCCTTAAATTTAAGTTAGATACAACCCTCCTCTAATGTTTTCTTTTGATACATGTATTTTTTATATTAAATGTACTCTGACACACATAGGGAGAGAACTAAGCAAAAGAGTTAATATGTATCATGGATATTAAATACATATAATATTGATATCAGAAATATTATGAAATATAAATACATAGAGAGACAAGGGAGTGAGGCAACCCTCCTCTAATGTTTTCTTTTGGTACAATTTTTTTATATCAAAAGTACTCTGACACATATAGGGAGAGAGGTAAGCAAAAGAGTTAATATGTATCATGGATATTAAATACATATAATATTGATATCAAAAACATTATGAAATATAAATACATAGAGAGATAAGGGAGTGAGGCAAGCGAAATAGGAAAGAAGCGAGGAGAGAGTCTATGTATTATTTAATTTTAGAAAAGAGAGTTACATTTATTTAATTTTTTATACATATTTTACTCTCATATATTCTAAAAAGATACTGTAATTGATTATAGTTTAATAATTAATTTTTTTTTCAATTGATAGTATAACATTTCTTGTAATATCTTGTAAGACAAGAATAAATATATATAAATTATTGTACATTGCATAACAACACAAATGTTTAAATCTCTCTTATTGATTATAATTTTTAAAATATTTTCAATAGTTTTCAATGGAATCAGTTGTTATATAAACTATTAAAATTATTCTAAAAGTGTTTACAAATAAAATTAAGACTTCACTTGATTGCATATGCCAATTAGAATATATTTTTTTTTTACTTATATAATATTTTGTAATACTTTTTATTACAAAACAAAAAGAAACAATATTATAGTGATTGTTACACATTCAAAGTTAAGACAATTTTTTTTTAAATTTTAATTATTTGATAATCTAATTAGTTTGAGCTTGAAATCAAAGAATTGAAAAACATTTTACAAAGTCAATATTAAAACATGATTGACAAATTGAAGTGAATCACACAAGTTAAGAAATAAAATGTAACTATAAATTTAGTTTTCTACATTTAAAAAAATTATAATTACATCAACAATAAAATTTCAAATATATGTGCATAATAATTAGTAAGAGATTAACGACAAATTATTAAGAATATTTTAATAAATAGTAACAATAAATCATTTTTTTTTATATTTGAATGATTATTATGTATTGTTTATTTCACTCATTAAATTTTCTTTCTTTCATCTTCCATAGTTACTTCTTTTTACAACATTGTTACATTTTTCATTTATATTAATATTAAAATCTTTGTTATTACTAGTATATATATGCTTTTGTATTTAAAATAAATTATACTTAATTTAATCTATATATATTTGAGTACGTACTCAGATACATGTATTTGACATGGTACGAAAGAGATGTGAGAGCATGTAACCAGTGAAATTTGTATTTTTTTGAGACGAGAGTTGAGTTTGAAATTTAGTTTACAAATATTTAAATATATAATAGATACCTCGAAGTATGAATATGCACGCATCATACCATCTAATTTGCTAATGTACAATTAAAAAAACAAATCATATACCCCACTTGTTGAACATAATGCCATTTTCCACAATAAAAAAACCCAGCTAAACCATCTCTGTAATATTCCATCAACTTCTCAACCATTACCTCTAAACGAAAAAAATCATATCTTTTTAAAAATGGGTTTTCTCAAATCCCTTAATCATCATCTTCTTCATGCTCAATAACATTTTCATAATCAAATTCTTTTCATTTCTTGGACTCATAGCCATTTTTTTACTCTTTTATTCGATTCTCACAGTACCAGAGCCAATGCAGAATGTACAACTCAACGAAGCAGACACCAACAAAACTGAAGTTTATTCAGTTTGGGCGATTCCATCGGAAGATGTCAGTGTTAGGGTTAAGAAATTGATGGGTGGACTTAGATCGGAATTTGGTGGGCCCCAATTTGAACCTCACGTGACAGTCGTCGGAGCGGTGAGGTTAACGGAGGAGGAGGCACGTGACAAGTTTCGAAGAGGATGTGAAGGGGTGAAGAAGGTGTATAGTGTTACTGTGGAGAAAGTTGATATTGGGACTTTTTTTTATCAATGCGTTTATCTTTTGCTTCATCCGACTAATGAGGTAAAAAAAATTAATCTTTTTATTGTTTGACTTTTTAGTTGTAGTCGTAATCGTAGTCGTAGACTCGTAGTATTATAGCTTGTGTAGTTTCTTGTCCTTAATTTGATTTATGTTAGTATCTGTTTGATTCGTTGTATCTCGATTATAGTATAGTGCCTTGGTTTTTGTTCCGATGATGTGTTGATTCTTTATACCTCGATTATCGTATTGTTTTGTTACTATATGTTTGATTCCTTGTACCTCAATTTCTATTCCGCTGTGTTGATTACTTGTACTTTGATTATCGTATTTTTTGTTACTATATGCTACTATATGTTGATTCCTTTGTACCTCGTCTATTCCTACATGTTGATTACTTGTACCTCGATTATCGTAATGTTTTGTTACCATTTGCTACTATATGTTGAATCCTTGTACCTCAATTTTGGTTTCTATGTGTTGATTACTTGTACCTTGATTGTCGTACTGTTTTATTCAAATTTTTATTAGTGTGTTTGTTTATCTTTTGCTTCATCCCATCACTGAGGCAGAAACAGATCTTTTAAAAAAAAAAGAAAAAGATTTTCATTTGAATTGTTAGTAGTCGTAGTAGTATTGCTCTAGTAGTTTCTTGTTCTTTGGTTTTTTTACTATAGATAGATTCTTTGTACCTCGATTATCATACTCTTTTGTTACTATATGTTGATTCCTTGTATGCCGATTTCTGGTCCTATGTGTTGATTACTTGTACTTCTACTATCGTACTATTTTGTTGTCATCTGCTTACTATGTGTTGATTCTTTATACCTTTATGTGTTAGCAATACTATGTGTTTTCACTTTTGAAGGGTCAAAATTATTTAACTTAGGGAAATCAAGCTTTTAGCCAGTAGAACTGTCAATGTCATATCAACCTTGCAACTGGAAAAAAGAAAACAGAATCCATATATAGGGAACTATGGAAGTTTACTTATTCTTTACGTTGATTTTTTTAAATGTATGATCACTTTTAAGTTGAGCTGCTGAGGATAAATTAGTGATATGGAATTCCTTTCTACCAGGTTGTGGAGGCTAGTGCACGCTGCTGCAGCAGCTTTGGTTACAACAGCTCAAGTCGTAAGTTATACATTCTATCTTTGTATTTTCTGGCACTTTTATAATTTAGTCGTTTTGCCTTTTTCATGGTTTCGACTTCTCTGTTTGTCTCTGTATCATCTTGTTACATTATAGTAGTCAGATACTTACTCGTAATGTTCATAAAACAGAATAAATGATAGCGAGAATAATTCCTTTTAATCCCTTTACTTCCCAATGGATTGAACTTGCCTGAATATCCTTTTTGTCACATTCCTTAAATCTCCTAAACAAGGAGCCATGTTCACCTCAAACTTCCTTCATATCCCCCTTCGTTCCAATTTCAAATCAACATTGTTATTTGGATGAATTTCTGATAGTCTACCTTCACGATAGCAACTAGCACACGCCTCGACTAATTCCATGGTATCTGGACCAATTTGCACACGCCTCGACTAATTCCACAGGATACATGTTGTTGTGAACCAAGCTGACTCGGTAAGGGCCTATGGGCTATTAAATACTTTTAATTGGGGATCCAGGCCCAATTAGTATCTCTATTAAAAAGGACTAGAAGTTAGAAGAAGGGGCATGAAAATTATGTGAAGCTTTGGCTTTCTGATCCTCTCATCTCCTTTCTATGGTCTAGAATCTCATCCCCTTCTAGTTACATTCTTCTATGTTATCTATCTATAATTAGTGTGTTGTTACTTTGTTGTGGGTATTATACGTTGTAACTTGTATTCCGTAATAACAATATATATATCAGTGTTTGTGTTGAAAATTGAGTTTGTTACATTGGTGCTTTCCTCCATCGGTCTCCAACAATGGCGATGTTTCTACCTAGATTCAGCGGCGACGGCAACCCAGAGAGCTGGATTTTCTGGCCGATTTGTACTTCACAAATCTTGGCTTCGACGAGAATGATTGTTTTCCACTTCCTTCATTCTACCTTTATGGTGAAGCCTATTTCACAATAAGCTAATTTTTGATTGGAAGCATTTCAAGGGTAAATTTGCTCAGTGCTTTCAACAACAAACCAACAACAATGTAGTGGGGCGTCTAGCTAATTCATCACAAGTTCATTTTTGACTGCGTTAATTATGTCCCTATAGTTTCACAATCAGCTGTGGTGTCTCCCAGTCATTTTCCAGCATCATCTGCCCTTGATTTTGCCTATGAAACTGGTAACTCAAAGGCGGACTTTGTGCTTTATAAATTGCCAGAGACGTATTAACATGTGGATTCCTTGGCATTGATTACTGGAAGTAATACTGAGACTGAAGCACTTAAAGACAGGTACTCACCTCATACAGGGAATGCAAAGTCAGTAGAGGGAGCAAATTTGGTATCGGGACCTTTTTTCAATGCTGAAAACAAGGCGTTCGATGAAATGTCACACACAACAGTGAGCTTTGAAATT